CAAATTACTGTAACGAAGAATCTAAAACACAATATTACACGCAGGTATGATTAGGTAGGTAGGTAGGTAAATTTAACAAAATCGAATGAATCTAGATGGCCATTTTCATTTTTGCCAAAAAGTGGACGTGGCTCGAAAGTAGGTCGACTGGCGTGCTCCAAAATAGGACGTTCAAACCTCTCCCATAGGAGTAACAACTATATGCAATTTGAAACATGTGGGTCAAATGGTTCTCAAGTTATCGTTGACCGTAGCAAAATGTTGACGGACAGACGGACGCACGACGGACGACACCCCCATGGCAATAGCTCATCTTGACGATGTCAATGTGAGCTAAAAACGACCTCTCACATAACACTACTAGCCAGGTTCTGTTATTATAATGAATACTACATTATACAGCTGATAAACTAGATACGACTGTTCAGTGAAATACTCACATGATATATGATCATTTAATCAATTGCGTGTGTAATAAAGGTAATACAACTTCAAATCTCAATACAGATACAAAGATCAACATGTTTCTTACAAAACTTCTTGTTAATGCACAATTTTTTTAGTATAGTACTTTCTATCCAAACGACAGCACAATTAGCTGATAATGCACAGTAAACATAAACGAACAACCATATGTAGCTTACAAAGAAACCCGCACCAAGCACATCCAACTGCCTGACAAGTTTCATGTGTTTTAACACCACAAAATAGACGTACTCGTGCTTGACACTTCGTCAAAACTATGTACCAAAAGAAAAAATCGAGGGCCGAACACTGGCTGACAATTATAAGCTACCACTTACGTGAAGATCAACAAAGATTGATGAATACTACAGGTATTAAATGCTGCTCCTGCTCGGTGTAGTTACATAGTATAATATTGTTCCCGATTAGGAAAGTGTATTTATCAGTCTAGTACTTTGGATATTGCACTATCTTCCTAATGTATGAAGGAAACCCATCAAAGATGACCGCTTATTATTCTTTCCTGTGTCTTTTTCATGTTTTACCTGCCTACGATAGTGTTTTTAAAATACACACTATGACTATCTACCATACTTTGAATATAATGTGAACACCTAAAATTTTAAACTGATTGACACCATACCAAGAAATATGACCTGCCCACAGAAGCAATCCTGTCTAAATCGTGTTGAAACAGTAGTAATCACAACAGGCACAAAATGTACACCACAAACTGCACGTTCAAAACTCATGTTCAGCAAACAATACAACACTATTATCACTACAATATAGATCATTAGTCTACGTGATAAACATCGACTCGTGTGAGATAGCGACGGGAAACTACACTATGCCCCTAATGGATTTTAAGCACTTATTATACATTTGTTTATAGTGGCTGCAACCAACTAACTTGAGCCACAGCCCAAGAAAACGGTAAGATCTCATGTTCTCATCATTACCCGGTGTTACAATAGAGCAAGTGTGGTGGCTTCCTGGCAAAGATAGACAACACCGAACCAGTAGCAATTTTTAACCCTAACCCGGCAGTAGCATTTTTACGTGGTAAGGTGTACCACAATAGGTGAAATGCTCTGAACATTTCCCAGAGATGACTTGCCTTCACGACCATGCCAGGTGGCATAACATTTCTAGCGCTGCCGCATACACGTACAACAAACTGGTGATATTATAGGCCACACCCAAACGACTTCTGTTTTTTTGCAACCCAAACGACTGGCAAAACTCATGCCAACAGAAGATTTTGTACGTTTCAAAGTTTTTGGCACAAATTTGAACAATATTGTACTATACTACTTAAATCTTATATATATATATATATATGTATTACTGTGTGGGACACATTGTAAGATGGATCTTAGTTTATCATAAATCGCTGTTAAACCTCTATACACATGAGGTTTATGTCATTTAGTATTTCGTAAGTGCATTGGTCAAGGCTACGATAACTGTTAAACAATAAACAGTATTGAAGCTATGCTATAGTTTATAGTTACATATGACATGGTATTTACATATAAATAAATATATATTGTTTTAAAACATGTGCAGTGTTCTTTTTCACAATAAACAATGTGTTTGAATATTGCCTGAAGCATCTTTGCAACAAATAAATTGGTCAATTATTTCAATTCCAAATTTGTACTTGTATATAAGTATATGCTAATATAGACGAAAGCTCATGTGGGTTACCAAACACCAGAAACCGTTTAAGAGTGACCTGTATACTATATAATGAAATAGGAGTTGCAGTTCATACGTACACAAATTATATCACCAGACACATAGGCATACTTGTACCACACGTATAAATTGTAAATGGCTTATAGTAAATAAAAAGCACAATACCATTGCTTTTAACATACGCACAATGGGAAGGGGATGTCTGTATAAAACTTACATATAACATACACAGTATATACATGACACGGCATCAACGTCTTCGATGTAAGAAGCTAACCCACCCTGCATATAACTAGGGATGCTGCGAGCAAGGTCAATGCAGCTAATCACACCACCTGTGCATTTACCCACTCCCATTATTTGAATTGGTCAAAGAACCATTTTCTACTTCAGATTGGTGCTGGCTCAAAAATACAGGAATGATTTCCAGTAATTATGAATATGATGCACCTCGTACTAGGACGAACTATTACAGTGTGCCTAATATTTACAGCAACAGAAGAAGTGGAAAAGACTACAACTATTGAGAGACGTGTAGGAAGTATGGCGGACATTGGGAAGAAATAGTTGACTTATTGATATTCACACTATACTGCAAGCATCATGGTCATATGAATGAGCCACACACGGTCACTTTACAATTGCAAGCTGTGACAATACGAACCATTTCCAAAAGGCAACATTTTTTCTACGATCCAAGTCGAAGTAGCCTTCCCATACAATGAAACCTTGATCAATGTACGCATTACATACTACGGGTAAAGAAACTTGAAAAATAGTGTGCAATTCCCAATAAATTGCCCAGTTAGGTGCCTAGGTTTTCAGCTGGCTTATAGGCCTACGCAAACTCTGTGTAGCAAACATTGTATCTACGCCGTTCATACTCGATCACTTGCTCTCTCTCTAATCATTAAAATATTCGTATCTTAATTCTACTAATTAGATAAAGATCCTGCCCAACTAGCTGCTACTACTCTTCTGCTCATTATTTACTTATGAGGATACAACCTCAGATTTTGAACTCCCTGGTAGTCAGAAACCAAAATGGCATGCCACATGTAGGTACAGTGAAGTCTATCGTCTGATCGCATTCACCTGACCTGTATGAAACACTACGAAACAAACGCGCAGCTCAGAAAAAAGAGCAATCGTCACAGACGCCAAGAGGCGGACTGGCCGCAGTTTCTCTCGCCAAGTCTACCGCTCGGTGCTGACACACCACCGCGGGTGAACCCTAGACAGCAATCATGCAGACGTCGTCGTTTCTGGGATATGCGTTCCCGGCGATCGTCTTACGTTTCAAATTCGCGCTCGGAGCCTTGCTCCGACTCTTCCTCCTCGAGCTGTTGTTGCTGCGTGACACGCCCCCGCTTGCTCTGCCGAGTCGCCTGAGCCGGCTGCGCATCCACATCTCCAAAATCTGCTACAGCAAAACGGCAAAGAATATTGCGTCAAAAACCTCGAGTACGATCGATTAACATTCACTTAACAAATAGCAATTCTTAACTACATTTGTGGTAGTTTCTCCATATGTTAATCAATTTATTAAAAACTTTTCAGCATAGATCCGTGGGACTTGTTTCAGTTCAGTTAAAGAAGATGCCCGATGTGTGCGTGTGCATGCGTGCATGTACAGGTACGAACGTTCACGCATGTGCCTACACAAGTTACGTATACGTCACACATAACTCACGTTCGGTGCGAATGCATCGGCCCCACGCGGAGCAATACATTCATATAAAATAAAAGTGTTAATGACACTGTTGCTCACCTTGGGTGTGATAGAAGAGGGAGGGGGGATATATAAAGCAAGAGTATATATGGGAGAACTCCCATTATATAGCATATCTCCCATTATATACTCTTGATAATATATATAAAAATATATACGCATGATAATTATAAATTTTGATGCGAAAATAATGTTTCAGATCTGAAAGTCTGAAATCTGGGCGAGAGATGGCGCTACGCCTAAATGATCGCCATTTTGGTTTTCGATTATCGCGCAAAGAAAAACAATAAAAGGTTCCAGTCAAATTACTGTAACGAAGAATCTAAAACACAATATTACACGTAGGCATGATTGTAGAGTTGTTAACAAGTTAGATTGACATTTTTCTGTTATTTTTGTCAAAGGTACGAGTGGGTAGTACGCAACCACAAGTTATCTTCTTGAATCTCGCTACCACCCAAAAAAAACTGCAGTAAACAAGCAGTTTAGAATGACTCAAAAGTAGGTTGACCATACTACCTAATTTGCATAATTAAAAAAAAAATATCAAAACCCGTGTGATATGTTTTGGGCCAAGTCCTTATTCATTCACATACCAAAAATGAGCAAAATCCGTTGAACCTGAACTGACTTATGGCCATTTCCATTTTTGCTAAAAAGTGGGCGTGGCTCGAAAGTAGGTCAACTGGCGTGCTCCAAAATAGGACGTTCACATCTCTCCCATAGGAGTAACAACTGTATGCAATTTGAAACATGTGGGTCAAACGGTTCTCAAGTTATCGTTGACCGTAGCCAAATGTTGACAGACAGACGGACGTACGACGAACGACGCCCCATGGCAATAGCTCATCTTGACGATGTCAAGGTGAGCCAAAAATGACCGGTACCTAATTCTGCCTTTCTCTTGCCGCGGACACGGCGCGGCTTGTGTTCTTTCGGCTCGCGGTGCTTCTGGACGGTGGGTTCGAACTCGGACGCGTGCGAGCCGTGGTGCAGCAGGCTGTTCTTGTAGGTGACGTATGGCGACCACTCCTCACCGCGTATCAGGTGCGGCGCCTTCGACATGTGCTTCTCCAGGTATTGTAATCTGCAAATCGAATCCAATAATGACAATCGAATAATCAAATAATTGATTTAATCAAATCACGCCGATCGTCGGTCGATCGGCCGTTCGCGAGCATCCGTCATCCTTGTTGTATATATACTAACATTGTTGTACAGCTTATCTGAATGCTTTTACGATGCTCCAGGTTCTAAGAATTGGTAAGCTCTGAGCTATATGTAGCGATAGCTGGTGTGAATACTTGCATAGGTTTTAAAGGTTCTACCACTGCTTCAGCTGCTTCTATCACTGCTTACATTTCAGGCAGTAAATCATACATCCTCCCATACATGCAAGACCACCATGGACCTGTTCACTGACACTGCATACACTGCTCCATAATGCAATAACTAAATATTCACACGTACACTGTCTTCTTGTCTTGCTTCATCAGTTTGTTTGAGAACTCGCACATCAGATCGAGGAAGGCGATGTTTGGAGGAGGGCCGCGGGGGTCGTCGGGGTTCTCCAGCGGCGAGAGCGCAAAGATGATGCCTTCTCTGTGAAGAGAGGCTATAGCTACACGGTTTCTCACCAAATCCAGGCCAAACGACATGGAGAACCTGCGGCCGAGCTCCTGAAAACGTTAGCAAGAATTTAGTAAGCGTTACATAGTCTGTTTGTCTGCGGCCGAACTCCTGAAATGTTAGCAAGAATTTAGTAAGCGTTACATAGTCTGTTTGTCTGCGGCCGAACTCCTGAAATGTTAGCAAGAATTTAGTAAGCATTACATAGTCCATAGTCCATAGTTACATAGTTTGGCACAAAGTGACACTGGCAATTTTAAATTCATCTGCATTTTCTTTACTTGCTTATAGCAAACAAAACGACGGCTTAAGTACCAACCGTGATGTTTGGCGATATTTGAAAAAATTAGAAACTGTTGTTTCCAAAGAGCTATTGCACACGTATGCGATAATGCAGCGTGGCAGGGGTCAGTCGCTGCATCTATGATGGTTGTTCATTGTTGCTGCAGTGTCTTGGCTTTTACTACTACAACATTTTACTCCGTCAACACAAAAGCAAGCATCTGATTATCTATCGCCTGCACACTCAAGACTTACCTTCAGAGCTGAGAAGCCTTCACTTCCTCTGTTGACTCTGCCTCCTTGTTCAGCCTGTACCTCTTTGAAAACTGATGTCAAGCTTACTGCCAGCGTTCGGGCGCACGTCACCTTGTTTATTTCGCGCGACTTTCCCAGGGCTGACTTGATGATGTCACCGTAGTCATTGTAGAACTATGAATGAAACAGAAAGATTCTTCCTACTAACAACAAATTCTGGAAACATACGAAAGGTCTAAAACAGGGTTGAATGCAACATCACGCATTATTTTGATGCATGTGGCAATCTTAGATCACCTACCTTAGTCACAGCTATATCGACACAAAGAACAAACTATGCCACCCATAAGATTTATTGTTTACGATAACCCAAAACAGTAAATTACTAAGTTAATAACAAATCAGTAATACAACAAATAAGTTGGTAGATAAACTCTTACATAATGCACACAATATAGTATAAGTTTAATATTTAATCGGTCTCATTGTGTACAGTATTTATTTTTAAGTGCCTTTAATAAATCAAAGTTAATAACATTAAATTTAACAAAAAGTAGGTTGTGAGGCCTGCATCAGTCTAACTCACCCTACAATAATGCTTGAACACGTCAGCTGCAGTTCGGATGCTGACGATGTTATACACGACGAGTTTACAGAAGGAAGCCAAGAAATTTCTCCTTTTGTGAAGCTCTTCAATCTTTTGGTGCTCATCTTGGTCCTCTACAGAAGATTGCGAATTTAATAATACATGAAAACACATGGCCACCCGGTAATTAATCTGCGATAACCAAGTATCACCCAATAAATGTATAATTTTTAATGTTATTAGCTGCTAACACTTAATTCCAACTTAATCATTAATGCAATTAATGAAACTCAATTATAGTTGTTAGCCGAGGCTATCGTTAAGGAATAAATATATCAATCGGCGACAAACTTTACAGATTACTCAAACAGAGGCTATTTCATTGTTTAACGCTAATTATTTTATCATTATTTAATTAATTTGCAATAACCAATGAATGTACAAATTTACCATTAGCGTTAGCCGAGGCTATCGTCAAGGAATCAGCAATTTAACGCAGATTAGCTGACTTCGGTTTTTTTCCCCATTTGTTCCTTCCTGCTATTTTGGTTACTTGGTAAGAGTAATAAACGGGCTAACCACCCTACCTTTAGGACACGCCATACTTTCAGGATACCCCACTTCTTTTTTGCTTGTCGTGGATCTTTAACCCAAGGGCTGGACCCACACTATGACACTTCCAATATTTAACGCTATGTGAGAGGTTGACGCTCACCATCCTCATCCTCTACGAACACCTTCTCGTCTATGAAGCCACCGAGCTGACCCTGCAGGTTCTTGTCCGGCTCGTAGGTGAGTGCTGCCAGCACAGCGGTGTGCATCAGCTGCTTGCTGAAGATGATCAGCAGATCGCATATAGTGAGGAACGCCTATTAACGAGAAGCAGAAAATAATTTACAAGCCTTAGATCATTTCGAGGCAATACTTTCTCGTGGTCAACGATAATGCAAATGACCATTTGAATTTATAGAGGGTAAATTCATGCCCACCAATGATTCTCCCAATTCCACCAATTATTTTGAATCAGATTTTAAAATAAGGATTTCAAGCAATCTTTCTGACCATTACAATACTTACTGGTACTGCTTTCATAACAGCAAGCATTTACAGTAAGGCTAACCCAGACAGGCTTAGAACAACCGTGTATTGTTACTTTCGACCGAACTTTGTTGTTTCCCTTGTTATTGGTTACTGTATACGCCCTATTTTTCGCGCACAGATATTTTCGCGAATTCAGACTTGACGGACAATTTCGCGAGTGGTTAATTTCGCGGTCAGTGAAGAACAGTGTGTTGTTATTTTTGCGGTCAGGGACGTGTTCGCGATATTCGCAAAAAATTAAACCACCGCGAAATATACAGCGTATACAGTACATGATCGTGCCAACAAACTGTAGCTCACCTCCTCTTCCACAGCATCCTGCGCGGACATCATCAATGTTCTTAACAACGACATGAATTCGTTCAGATTTCTCTTCAGCTGCTTCATTGCAGGCTGAAAGCCACATACATGTATATTTAGGAATGGGAAATGCAATGAAGCTAAAGATGGAAAGAGTAATACTACGGGGTACAATGATACATTCCTACTGAGTTTTTACTCAGTGTCGTTAAAGTCCACTTGCAATGCTTATTCCTATCAACTACACACACAAATGTTATAAAATATTACCAAAAAACACAAGTAACTACATACACATATCACTTCAAGCACGCTATTATGCATAATATTAGGATGATAGCCCTTACTAGCCATACCTTATCAGGATTGTGATTGTCCAAATTTCCCAGGCTCCACATTAGTACGTAGGAACAGCAGTTGATTGACTTACACAAAATCTATAAATAAATTACATTGTTAACAATTGAAATGCCCCTAGATTTGGAAGTCTAGAACATTTTTGAAAAACTAAGGATTGGAATTTTACCTCCTAACTAATTAAATCTCATTATGCACAATATTAAACAAATTAAAAGTTAATAACATTAATTTTAACAAATTAACCTAAAAATAATTTGATTGTGTCTTAGTAGTGTTGTCAATCGGTTGTAATTTCGTAATCGATCATCGGTTGGACCCAAGTAACCGATGACCGGTTACAATCGGTTACTCGGGGTGTTGAATGCCTGCGTGTGCATGTACGTGTGTGCATGTATGTGCTTGTTTAGCCCTGTTTACTACTGTATACATGTATGTTAATAAAGGATAACTTGTATAGTAGCGATGATATCTCTGATTCTCATCACTTTTCGACGTTTTTTTGTTCAAGTTTTACATTTATTTCGATTTTTTTCGACGAAATCGATTATGGATTTTGATAACCAAGCGCTTAGTTCGAGCCACTGTTCAACCGATGATCGTGACATCACTATGTCTTAGTGATAACAACATTAATCACTAAATGTAGTGGTTTCCCTACCGCTTCAGGCAGATGCTTGTCTTCAGACGCTGCTTTTATGAGAGCCATTAGTGCGTCCCATAGATTATACGCCGTCATATCGTGGCAGCTGGAAAACGACGTGATGCGCTTCATACTCGACATTAATGCAAACTCCTCGTCCTCATCAGCATCTTCACCCTGGAAATACATACCGTTACGCATAGTGGTTTAGCAACGTGCGAAACAGCACACATCCTGACAGCTGTACACGGACAGTGTGACAGTTGCCATATCTGCGCATTATAAGACAACTGAAATTTACTACATGAAGTCATACAATGGCTTCTCTATACTGTCAAAAGCATGAAGAAGATAAGAAATACAAATTGTTGCGACCAGCCTCCGCATCACGGCACGGACACACGTGCAGAAAGCAAGCACACACACACACGGCATGAGAACAGCAACTATTTATTTGGCCAATCTATATATGTACATATATACTAGCACACAGACACCACATATTACTAAATCCATATGATACAACACAACCTACAACCCTACTTCATCTCCTCTACAAACACCTGACCACAAATATGCAATCAAATGACACCACTCATCACTACAGCCACCTTACCACAAACACACTGACAAATAACACCACCCACCACTACCAACTACTATACACAACATTACTACTACAACATTGAAACCTGGCTACAAAAACAAACAAACAACACCACCCTCCCCCGCAACCACCCCGACAAACAAACGCAAACAAATGAACACCACCCGCCATTACCAACTACTACACACAACATTATTACTACAACACCAACACCTGACCACAAACGCAAACAAATGACACCACTCATCACCACAACCACCCCGACAAAAAAATACAAACAAACGAACACCACGCACCAATAGAAACACGTGATCACACACGCACGAGCAAAGACACCACCGACCTCTTCAAACAAACGAACACCACCCGCCAACAGAAGCACGCGATCACACGCACGCACGCGGGCACGACCAGAGACGCGTGACCAACCTCTTCGATGAACGTCTGGTAGGCCTCGCGGAACTTCTCCATGAGCTGGTCGAGCAGCGTGGCGCGCGCCACCTCGCACTTGCCGCGTATCGCGTACTCGTTGCCGCACAGCAGCTCGACGGTCTTCGCGCACGCCTCGAGCACCTCGCCGTCCGTGTGCCGCAGCACGACCTCGTGCACCAGCTTCAGCAGCAGCTCCAGACTCTGCAGTGGGGGAGAGAGCGCGGCGACGTAGCGCGATTAGCAGCGACATCGCTGCTATTACTACTACCCTATTATTCTCATTACTATTACAGACAAGAAGATACAACAGCACTGGGTAGTGTGCCGCAGCACGACCTCGTGCACCAGCCTCAGCTCCAGACTCTGCAGCGGGGGAGAGAGCGCGGCGACGTAGCGCGATTAGCATCGGTGCGAATGCAACGTTACTACTATTATTATTACATCAACAGACAAGAAGATTCGAGCTACAATGACACTGGATAGGGGAGCCACACTGAATGAGTTCCTGATTTCAGCAGCAGTGCTAGACTTTGTGGGGGAGAGCGACGCCAACGACGATGTACTGATTAGCAATGCAACATTACTAATATTATTATTACTACTACTCTGAATATTATTATTATTATTATGATATCAACAGACAAGAAGGTACGATGACACTGGGTAGGGAGCCACACTCGAATGAGTTCCTGATTTAGAATAATTGAACGCCAAACTTTACGTACTGCATTGCATATTGCTACTGCACTGACGTAAGTGATAGCTTGTATTAATCAAGTTCAGAACCACAGGGACATAGGTAAAAACTGTTATTGTATTATAGAAAATGTTATGCATTCAACTACACGTCTGGTAAAACACCGAGGATAATGGCCTTGCCTTTTCCTGGCGGCTCGTCGTGTAGATTTCCAGTTCAAAATACTGTGGAATGCTCATGAGATTGGCAATTTTTTCAGGATCTTGTATGTACTGGTGACAGAAAAACAAACAAACACAAATGTATCTTTTTAAAAAGAATGTTTGCCAGGTGAATACCCAGCATGCACTCTCTCATATCTGTGAGTGAATATTCTGAGGGTAAATCCACATCTACAATTAAGTGAAACTTAAACTAATCCACTTTTTAAAAAGGTTAGACCCAAACAGATTGTTACAGAGCAGATTATCGTTACCTTAGATAGTAAAGGAGGCAAGGTCTGGATAAAGTGCTCCGTCAATTTGACTTTGTCGTCAATGATTTGCTTTTGCTCTTTTGTCGACAGTTTGCGATTCGGCCCGCGGCCAACAGGTGGCTCCCCAGTAGCTGCTTGTCGTACACAGCAACATAAGATCTCAATAAGACTAGTTTCGTATCTGTCCTCCAGTTCTATAGATAAGAACAAAATTAAAATCAGTAACAAGACAATTAGTTACTCCACATTCATATAGTACATGCAACCTCGAGGAAAGTGTTGACGAAACGCGGAAGCTAGAAAAATATGCAAAAACACCCTAAAAACACGGGAGATGTAGAAATCTAGTGGCCTGAGCTGAAGTGAAAGTAATGCCCTACTGCATTCAACACAATAACACACTATGGGAGCTTTTCCAATACAAGTTTTCTCTCGTAGTTCAGGAGTAGGTTGGTAGGTACATACGCTCTTCTCCTTTGCCAGATTCCTCCAAGAGCAGATCTGTCATGCACTCCCAGTCCTTCATCATCGGGTGGTTGTCTATCAGGCTGTCCACAAGGTACGCACCGTGTTCGTGCAACTGAAACCAACGAAAGCGTTCGAGTCGATGTTTCACCAGAACTGGTGGGCAAGCACACTTTCACAAAAACTGTAGTAAAAACCAATCTTTAAAGATTGTGAGAATTCAGTCAGTTATTCCATTCTTTGTTCAGTATTCCTTATCTATTCTGTCAAAACCTGACTGAACCAAATCACTCAGATAAAGCAGAAATCTTTATACATCGCACAAATCCCTTTTAACTTAGACAGCAATTAATCACAGTAAAACATGTACATAAACCATGTTCCTAACCACACGGCTCTAAACAGCACAGATGGAAAGGGTCATTAAAACTGCTTTCAATTCGACGAATCTAACGATTGCCACGACTAACTTTACCACAGTACAACGTACCTCCAACTCGATAAAGAACTGCACCAAGTCACGTACAACTTCACCACAGTCACGTACCTCCGACTCGATAAAGAACTGCACCAGGTCGCGTATGAGTGGCGTGTTGATGCTGCGCTTCTTGCCGCGCTTCGTCTTCGCCGGTTCCATGTCGTCGTCCAACGTGAACAGCTTCTCGTTCAGAAACTCGCCGGCAGCCTGCGCCACCTGGCGGTGCGACGAGTAAACGAGCTCGTACACGTGCTCGCAGTCCTTGTCCGAGAGGATGTCCTTGTGATTCCTGCGTGGGCGTGGCGTGAAATAAGAGATCATTCTTATTCGAGGGTCGTATTCTTCAGGGGGCTCACGTTTCAATAAAAATCTAACACTTCTTCGAAATAAGACTCCTTCTTATTCAAGGGTCATATTCTTCAGGGGGTCAAGTTTCAATCGAAATCGAACATCTCTTTACGGCACACAACCCTAAATGACTGATCCTATATACATCTGCCTGCTAACTCGACTGAAACCACTTCAAACATGTCAAAGCTAATTAATGTGCGTGGAATGATATTCCTGTATATGTCACTTTGTTCAATGACAGAACAAACACATATATTTGATGAATTTCAATGAAGGCCTCTTAAATTTTATCTGCTCAAATGTTTCCGATTCAGTTCATATATATTTTAAAATATAACTAAGCTAAATACTCACTTTTGAATTGCGATGACCAGCTTCACACCTTGGACAGCCACATCATACTCCTTGTCTAACGTCATCGACACTATGCGATCCTAAAGCAAATTTTTCATTTGGTTCATTACCATGGTAACTACCACGTACCAAGTCTAGACTGCTGTTATTATGAACACTGGTTGTGCTGTTCCGGAAAAAGTTTTTTACTGCTAGCACTATGATGTGATCTACGTTGCTGACTAGCAACCCGTCACGTTCTTCCTTAATCACTTGCATACTGCCATGGATCAACACATAAAATAAGCTCTCTGAAAATTGGCATACACTGCGAAACTAGTTGGCAACACCCACTGACACCGACATTGAAGGGGCAATACTGCATTGTGCTCCGTACCTTGAATTTGTTCGTAAACAATTCCATTTTTGGTCCTAGTTCTTCTGTCTGGTACAGTGGTAAGAGTGACTGTAGGCACTTCAGTCTCACGTCTCCCACCTGCATGGATATACAAATTGCCATTCAGCAGAATGTCAGCAAATCTACTCCACAGAATTTTCTCAGTTAACACCTGCACTTAGGACACAACCAGGAGACCAAAAGTCAATAAACGTGTAATCGACCTTATTGGATTTCATACCCAAAACAGATGATAACGACATAATCATTTAACACAAATATGAAAACCCACCTTGTCATGTAACGTCCAGCCTATGTACTTCAGATAACCGTCATCCAGAAACATGTTTGGGTATTTCTTCATCCAAATACCGATCTCGCCCATGCAGATAGATCTGATGTCGGGCAATGTATCTCTACAAGTAGGACAGACATGATATAACCATGTTATGTATCACACATGTGACAGTATGTAAATCAGTGTTTCTCCTGGATTAAATCATAAGCGATCGGGCCGAGTTAAACAAGTGAATGCTGACGTGCTGCCTTCAGCGCATTCACATTAAACATGCCCAGGCCACAATTAAAAAAATATTTGTTTGCCCTCACCCGACCCAGGCTGAAAAGTTTGTGTTGGTAGGTAGGCTTTTTTTGAGGGGCGTCTTTTTACAAATTCAGCATGTCTACATGCTTGGGTGTGCTTGTGTGGAAATACCTTTTATGTTGAATGTTTGTTTTGCTTGGTACATATGTATTGCCTACAGATTTATATAATATGTGAATGTGTAAGGCTAGTAGTGTTGTCAATCGGTTGTAATTTCGTAATCGATCATCGGTTGGACCCAAGTAACCGATGATCGGTCACAATCGGTTACTCGGGGTGTTGAATGCCTGCGTGTGCGTAACGTCGTGTGCATGTA